AGAGTAAGCCATAGCAATGTAGAGACTTGGAGGTAAAGTGAAATAGGTTTGGTTTTGTGGAAAATGCATATTTACTGAGGGTAAAGTTACAGTAGGCATGTGGGGTCATTAACAGTTATTTGCAGAGTGTCTGTTATGTAACAGGTGCTCTTTTTGACACTGAAGACTTGACAGCAAGAACTTTATCTCACCAGTTTAAATTTCCTACAGAGCAAGTGTTTGTTCCTGGTAAAGATGTGCAAACATTAGTAAGACATGGAAAAATACTTTGCAATGAGAAGAAAAATTTATTCTGATGCATGCAACCAAGGCTGGTGGAGGTTTCTAAGAACTTACATCGTGAATGAATGTTAAATTGGAAAATAACCGACTATTCTGGGCTTGGATCAGAAAGGGAGGTTTTCTGAACAAAGTGAGGAGACATTTTCCAGTATCTGGTTGTTTATGCTTTATTTGGTGAGATATTCACCACTTACTGTGTATGCCAGAGGCTGAGTTTATAGATGTGAATAATGCACAGTCCCTACATTTCACAAAATGGTAGGTATTTGTGGAAGGATAGAAATTGGAGGACAAAAGCAGAAGCTTGTTAGGCGTCTCTGTCCCAGAGGTAAGTGGGAGAGAATGGTGGCCTGGATAGGGTGGAGGAATTAAATTGGAGCAGGCAATTTTGTGATTGACTGTGGAGGGTGACCCAACTGGACCTGCTGATAGATTGAATATGGTGCAGGAAAGCATAGAGTAGAACCAAAGAGGACTTGATTTTAAGGTTTAGCAACTGGTTGGGGAGGATATGATGTACTGAGATATGGAATGCATATGAAGGAAGAAACCAAGATTTATGCCTCAAAAATGGTAAGTTGAGGTATCTGAAGATTGCTATGCCAGGATCGTAGGTAGGCAGTTGGATATACTAGTCTGTGGCTTAGAGGGAAGGTAAGATATGGAAATTTATATTTAAAGTTTTTCCCTTCCATTTAAAAAACAATTGTACACCCACCCAAATAGCCTTCCCTTTACTCCACTTCCTTCCTTCTGCAGCCAGTGCTCCTTTTACTGTTGGCTTTTGCAGCAAAGCCCCTCAAAGAAGTGAGCCGTATTAACCAACTTTCCTTTTTTTCCTCATCCAACTCAGTCAAGTCATCTTTGTGTTCCTCTATTCTAGCAAAATTTTTCTTACCAAGGTATCCATTGCACTGCATTTCTAAACACAGGGCCAATTCTCTGTTTTGGAATTATTTGACTCATCGGTAGCATTTATCATGGTAATTCCCTCCTCAAGACACTGCGTTCTCTAGCTATCAAGACAGTGCATACTCTTGGACCTTTTCTGATAGGTTGCTCATTTTCAGTTTCTTTTGCTGACTCTTCTTTCATTTACCCCAACTACTTCTCCATCCCAGGTCTTAGTGTAGAGATTCTGTCCTTGGTTCTCTTTTATTATGAGCACTCACTGTCTTGGTGATCTTAATCAGCTTCAAAGTTATTTATTTCTAATGATCACAAGTTTATATCAGCAGTCAGAATTTTTCTCTCAAAACTTCAGACTTATATATCCAAATGTATTAATAGAGTTACTTGGATTTCTGGTAGACATCTCAAGCACAGTATTTCTAAAATTAAAATTTTGATCTCCTCTTCCACAATCAGCCCCTATCTCAGTTGAGAGCAATTTTTTTTAGTTGCTCAAGCCAGTTATCCCAGTGTCATCTTTGAGTCCTTCTTTCATGACCCACATTTAATCTGTCAGAAAAAGTCACATGGCTTTTCCCTCAAATACATGCAAAGTCTGATTGCTTACCACACACACTGCCACCTTGGTTCTTAGTCAACATTCCCCCTTCTCTGATTACTGGAATAGTCCAGAGTCTTTTTCTGCTTTTACTTCCACCCTTCTGTGTTCTTCTTATTATAAAAGCCAGACAAAACTTCAAAAAAAATTTGTCAAATGTCATTTCTCTGCTCAAAAACTGTCTTTGCAAATGTTCCTCACTTCTTTCACAATCAATGTTCTACAGAGGGCCAAAGGTCCTTTGTGATGTGGCCCCATCTTTAGGACCTCTGTAAATCTCTCATTCACATCGTCTAGCTACACTGACTTTGAAGAAGCTGATCTTTGAACATTAGGCATATTTCTTTCTCTCTTAAGAGCATTTGTTCTGACTATGCTCTTTGCTTAGAGTTCTCTCCATGGGATAATTCTTATATTCTCCATCTTTTATACCTGTCTCACTTCCTTTCACTTACCTTTTTGTTCTAGCCAATCCTGTGGCAACTCCTTGAGTACAGGTAGGGCCTGACTGTGCCTCACTCAATGCACCCCACCCCTGGGTTTCTCTGCTCCACTGCATGGGGCACTTACGGAGACTGCTTGGCTGTTGTAGAGCATGTGTGAACCTGGAAGTGTGAAGAAATTAATACTCTTTGGACAAACCTTGACCTCAGAGGGGAAACCAGTAGATAAATATACCCTTCTTTCATGTCTCAAGTAGAAAATTCTGCCCTGTACATGGTTCTTCATGTGGAACTGGACACAGCTGATCAAAGAATTATCCAGCTCAATAATGTACTTTTGGATATAATTCTCTGCTTTCCTATCACTCTTTTATCCCATTTTTGCATATTATTTTCCCCATATACACCATCTGGATATGTCACCCCAGGTTCTGTCTTTTAAAGAGACCAGAAGCCAAGTTAATTTATTTCTTCACCTTACTCAATCTGCAGAAATTCTCCTCAGTGAGGCCTACCTTGATCTATTTAAAATTGCTACCTTTATTCTCCCCCAGCTTCAGGATTTTTTATCCTCTCACCCTGTTTTTTCTTTCTTTTATAACAGTAATACCTTATATTATGTAACTTAATAATAATAATAATATATATACATATATATTTTTTTACTATCCTTCTCAAACCTTTAGAAAAATTGTTCCACTAAGGCATCAATCTGTTTTACTCTTGGATTTATCCTTAACCTATTCAGTAAAAAATTTTTTCAGAAATTGACTGAACATATTTAATATTTTGTGAATATAAAACTGAACAATGCTCAATATAGAGTCCTGAAGAAATTTGATATTTAGAAATAGAAGGCTGAGATGAGAAATTAAGGAAATAGGAAATGGTAGTATCATTGGACCCAAAAGGGGGTTTTAAAAAGGACAGAGTTGTCAGTTTAGAAGAAAGTTGCCGAGAGGTCATGATGTGTGAAAGCAGGAAAGTTACAATGGCACCATTATCATGGAGGTCATCACTGAACAGGTTTGGGGACCTAATGGGAATTCCAATTCCAGACTGGTATGTTTCATTACCAAATGATATTTGAGAGAGCTGAGACAGAACATAAGCATTTCTAGATGTTTTCTGTGAAGAAAAGAAGAGATTTGAAGTAATTGGAGGAAGAAATAAGATTATGGGAGGGAGAATATTAATCAACATAACTATTTAAAAGGTGTGTAGTTCTGTGGAAGAGAAATATCAATCACTAATAAGGTTTGGCAAATATCAAAGAATTATACAAAGGGATTTTATACATAATTCCACTTACCCTTCTTAACAATCCTCACACAAAAGGTACAACATTACTATTCCCCATTTACAGAGAAGGAAACCAGCTCATAGATAAGTGATTTGTGCAAAGTCATGCAGCTAGTATAAGCAGTACTTACTACTAATCCAAGACCTTTAGATTCTGAAAGTTTTCCAAACCACATGAAATTAGTTTTCAATGTGGATGTGGTGCATGTGTGTTGCTTATAAGGCATTTAGATTGAAGCAATAAAGCCTAGTTACTTAGGACACTGGAATTAGAGAAAGCTAGAACTCAAACTCAGCTGCCTTACACTATTAACTATGGTATTTTAGAGATATTCAGTTTCTAAAAACTTAATTTTCTTATGTTTGTAAGAGACCAAGTTCCTTCAGTACTTAGTTCAATAATGTGGTAAATGCTGTAGTATATTATTTAATGCTCATAAATATCACATTAGCTGGATCCTATAAAACAGTGGCAGTATAAAAACTGGGCAACTCCAATGTTTGAGGATTTGAAAGAAGAGAAGAAAAAAATGACCTAGAGAAGAAGAAAGATTAAAATTTGTTAAGAATAAAGGGCAATTGTTATGGAAGCCAGATTCAGTCCCGCTAAGGACAAGAGAGTTCTCAGGTGGTGATGAAAACAAAGGAGCAGGAAGATGCATGGAGGGAGAGCTACGTGGGTAGGGAGGTTAACATGAAGTTAGAGGGGGAACCAAAACAGGAGGTGTCTTGTTTCCTTGGCAAGCTGTGGCAGGGCTGAATTTGCAGATTTGTGGATTCGGAAGGGACCTGGAAGATACATTCCAAGGCAGTTCTCTTCAGTACAACTTTTTGCAATGATAAAATATTCTGTATCTGTTGTATCTTTATAGGGTAGCCGCTAGTCACATGTGGCTATTGAGCACTTAAAAAGTGTCTTTTGTGACTAAGGTATTGAATTTTTATTTTAATAAATTTAAATAACCACATGTGGCTAGTGACAACTGTATCAGATAATGTTAGAGAAAATACACAGATTCTGTGATTAATAGGGGCATTAGAAATTACAAACTTCATTAAACTTATATGGGCCTGAAAATTCAGGACAAAGTTGGCTTTTGTGATTCTAAGCTTATGTACAATGGTACCAATATATGTATTAAAAAATGATTTGCTTTAAATGTTTTCTTATTAACAGGGTATTCTGGATAACAACATGAACACAGAAAACATTGCTTTTTTCTCCATTCCTTTATGAAAGTTGTCTTGTGATATTAGTTCTAATACTTAATATTCTACCTACTCAATGAGATTCAAAGTTCTGTAAGGGTAGACACCCTTGGGATTATGCTTATCCATGTCTATGAGGACTACTAACTGATTTCAACATCTAGCAATAGGAATAAGAGCTAATCCTTCCAAGGAGGTATATATGGGAGGTGAAGGGTCCCTGTAAAAACTGACAAGGAGAATTTCCAGAAGCCATGTCAGACTCCAATATGACCTCAACCCATCCAGCTGTTTTCTTGTTGGTAGGAATTCCAGGTTTAGAGCACCTGCATGCCTGGATCTCCATTCCCTTCTGCTTTGCCTTTACTCTGGCCCTGCTTGGCAACTGCACCCTCCTCTTCATCATTCAGGCTGATGCAGCCCTCCATGAGCCCATGTATCTCTTCCTGGCCATGTTGGCAGCCATTGATCTAGTCCTCTCTTCTACAACACTGCCCAAAATGCTGGCTATTTTCTGGTTCAGAGATCAGGAGATCAATTTCCATGCCTGTCTGGTCCAGATGTTCTTTCTCCACTCCTTCTCTATCATGGAGTCAGCCGTGCTGCTGGCCATGGCCTTTGACCGCTATGTGGCCATCTGCAAGCCACTGCACTACACCACAGTCCTGACTGGGCCCCTTATCACCAAGATCGGCATGGCCGCTGTGGCTCGGGCTGTGACACTAATGACCCCACTCCCCTTTCTGCTCAGGCACTTCCACTACTGCCGAGGCCCCATGATTGCCCACTGCTACTGTGAGCACATGGCCGTAGTAAGGCTGGCCTGTGGGGACACTCGCTTCAACAATATCTACGGCATTGCTGTGGCCATGTTTATAGTGGTGTTGGACCTGCTCTGTGTTATCCTGTCTTATATCTTCATCCTTCGGGCAGTTCTCCAGCTTGCCTCTCAGGAGGCCCGCTACAAGGCCTTTGGGACATGTGTGTCTCATGTAGGTGCCATCTTAGCCTTCTACACACCTGTGGTCATCTCCTCAGTCATGCACCGTGTGGCTCGCCGGGCTGCCCCTCATGTCCACATACTCCTTGCTATCTTCTATTTGCTCTTCCCACCCATGGTCAACCCAATCATCTATGGGATTAAAACCAAGCAGATTCGTGATCATGTGCTCAGTCTATTCAGAAGAAAGAATGTGTAGATGTATACTTTTTCCTTGTCCTACTAACGAATTGTCAAGCATGGAGATTGCAATTTTCCTACTTGAGATTTTTCCTCTCTACCTCAATCAAACATCCAGGCAGTACTGGACTAGTAGATAAGGAAAAATGAAGCCTCATTCCTCACATATCCACCAGTCAGATCAAATTAGATGTCTGATAGCAGAGGTTTAACCTTTCTATACTTATAGACTCATCACACAATTAAGGAAAACACACATACACACAAAACCCTACCAAAGTGCTATTGTCATCTAGGTGAAAAACAGCAGAAATATTGGCTGAAACTGGCACATAGCAGCTGAAAATTTGCTGTACTCCTCATCCAGACTATGAATGAGAAATTGAACCACAGACTTTGTGACCCACAGGCTAACACCGCTTCTACTACTGAAATTGTCTGCGTATATTTTCTGCTAAGTGGCCTCTAGCCTCTGCTGCTCTTTAGACTATTATCACCCAATGCTGTTGCCTGTACAGGTGGACAGCCTCACTTCTAAGAAGACTTATGATGCATTGCCAGTTCCTTTAACTTCCTTTTTGACCGACACTAATGGCCAATTCTTTTACTGAACACTTTGCAAAATAGTCTTTTGACACTCCTTTATATAAGTTTATATCATCATGTAACTAACTTTTCATAAGCATATGACTTTTATCTCCAAAAATACTTAGTAGTATTTATTCAATGAGGAACTGAATGACATCTTTGAACAATGAACTATAGAAACAGAGTGATTAACAACTTCCCCTCTTGAAGTTAAGACTTCTGAAGCTAAAGAGGAAAATTGTTACAATATGTAGTTGTGGTAGATTATAGTTTGGTTCATATATTTATGCTCTTGTTCCTTTACCATGGGAGAGGAATTTCCTTATTCCAGGAATGTTAAATCTTAATATGTGACTTTCTTTGGCCAATGGAACTTGAGGGGTCTTGAAATACGCCACAATAATTAGAAACTTTAAAGTGTGTTTGTGTAGCTTGGTTCAGTGCCCCTCATTTTTACTTCTGCTACAAGAATTGTCATGTACCCAGAGTCTTCCCTTCAACCTAGACCATGATGCAGCAGATACATGGATGTGATGCAAATCTGATTCACAGCCTGGAGCATGGCCACAGCTGACCCACCATGCTCCTAAAACATGAGCAAGGATGATTTTGTTGTTTTGTCATAAACCATCACAACTTGAGAGTCATTTCATAACATGACCCAGGGAAAGCAGATTGCTGGAGTTGTCAGCTCTTCCTTCCATTCCAACTCATGACAGTTGCAGACCCGGTATTTAAATGAAGAAAATGCACTATTTCTTCTTCCAGAATATACTAAAAATAATACTCGATTTCACTTTTCTTTCTGCTTTTGTCTCATACAAACTTCCATAATTATACACTCCTTCAGTCAGTTCTATTTTTAAAAAAGCTTTCATACACATTTTTTTCATGAAGGCTTACTTATATAAACATATCCCTTTACTTTCTATTTTTGACCCTTTTCTTTCTTCAGTAATAGTTAAAAGGAGTTTCTCCAACACTAAGAAAAGAACAAAGAAACCTGATACTCTCTGAAAAAAAACCAAAAACATCTCCAGGCCCATGTGTGTCACTGCTTGCCTCATAGGCACACATGGAGGGTGCTGGTTTCCATGGGTCTCTGTCTAGTTCCCAAGTGTCAGTCTTCTGACATTGAGGTAGGGTAATTGGACAGCAAGGAATGAAATGGTATGAACAAAAGGCCTTTGCCTCTGTTCCCGGAGACTTTCCAAGCTCTCATTTGGTTTTCCTCAGTAGAAAATGGACATTCTGTGTGATAGATCAAAACACTGCTTAAAAATATTCACTCTTCCTGGGTATACTTCCCCACACACTAACTATGGGATTGGCTATCCGTACCACTTTGGCCAGTGGGGTATTAACAGATGTGGTACAAGCAGACACTTGAAATCTTCCTGTGTGGTGGGGCTTGTGTTCTGACTCAGCTGCATCACAAGAATGTGCCCTGGTTAGCCCACTGCTCCAAGGAGGATGAGGGAAAGTGGATCAGAGATGCTTGATCAACTGTCAGCTTGAAGCAGAGTCTCAACTTGTATCAGCAAAATCTTCACCCAACCTGCAGATGCATAAGCAAATCCAGTTGTGACCAGCAGTCATCTGAGCCACTCTCCAGATGTATGAGAGATTCATTTTTATTGTTGTATGACACAGATTACACAGATTCTGTAAGTATTTTTTCCACAGTACATTTTGGAAATTAGTTGATTATCTGCTATTGTTACTTAGTAAATGGAATATGGAGTAGTGAATTAAAGAAGTATTTCTAGGCTGCAAGATCTGATTTGTCCCTGTGTTTGGTGCAGGAATGACCTTGTACTGCAGGTGATACTCATATCCTGCAGAGTCATTTTGTCCCACACAGAAGTCTAATAGCATATGAACTCAATTACTATGCATATGAACTAGCATATGAACTCAATTACTATGCAATAAACAGTATGCATTGTTAGATTTACTCACAAGTAGTCAAAGAGTTATTTTCTATCTTGTATCAACACTGCTTAAATGGAACATAGTACTTATGAGAACAATACATGCATGCTTTTAGACTTGAAGTTTTAGCATTACATAAATACAAGAAGATACAGAAAATGTGCTTGAACTAATTCAATCTTAATTATAGTAATTCCACTCATTCTTGAACCTTAGTTCTGGATTTTCTGGAGCCTGAGTCAATGTAAGAAAATGTAAGTTGCCCAAATAATACTTTTATGACTATCCCAGACATCCATTTAGCTAAGACAGCTCCAGCCCACTGACAGCTTGCGAATGCCAAAGGACAAGAGTTAGAATACAGATGAAAAAAACAAGAAGGGCAAACTTCAGTCTACATTACTGCAAACACATTAGAAATAACCAAAACTCCTTGACTATCATTTCATGTGGTATTTTGCTAAGGATACATCTGCATGACTATTGTGCCTGTTATTTCCCTCTATTGTAATTTTCATTTCAGATATTGTAAATCTGATATCATAATTCTCATAGATCAGTGTATGGTTTTTCATCTCAGATATTGCAACTTTCATCTCTGAAAGTTTGGTTTTGGTGTTTTTTCATATCTTCTGGTATCTCTACTTAACATGTTCAAACTTTTTTCTGGCCTCTTAAATATATGAAATACATTTCTAGTAATGGTTTAATTATTTTTATATGCTATTTTTTATCATCTGTACTTTTCTTGATTGGTTTTGATTTTTCCTATGTACATTTTTCTGGTAATTTTTGATTGAATGACAGATACGTCAAATTTACTTTTGGGTACAGAGCTTCTGTATTGTTGTATATATATTCTTGAACTTTATTCTGGGACATGGTGAAGTTGTTGGAAATGGTTTGATCCTTTCAGATTTGCTTTTAGGCTTTGCTAGTAAAGACTAGAGCAGCTTTTAGTTTAGGCTTATTGTTACCACTACTCAGTAAAACTACTTCTGAAAAAAAGTCTGTTGACTACTGAGTTTTGAGCCTTTCCCCTCATCTGTGGGAACATGGATTATGCCCAGCCCTGGTGAGTGCTGGCCTTTCCTCTGATCTTAATGGTCTTTCCAGTTTCAGGTAACTGCCTCCCAGGTAAGCGCTGAACAGCACTCCGATGAAAACTGCGGATTCCCAGTGCCCCCTCCGCAGCTCTTGCCTCTCTGGTTCTCGGCCCTAAGAGCTCTAGCTCCCTTGGTCTGTCTTTATGTTTGATACAGTGTTTGGGATGCCCCTGCATGCAATCACTTAAGCAGACAGAACAAATCAAAACCCATGACCAGATCCTGGCATTTCTACATCCATGGAATAGGACAAAAATCGACAATGATATCAAAGCAGAAGTGGTTATTGGAACTGGAGGAAATATGAAGTTGAATAAAGGGTTGAAGAACTCATCACATGATAGACAGAATGTCCATGAACTGTAGAAGCAGAAGTGTGAATTCGAACTGGTGAAGATATCAAAACTGTACATATATTGTCTCATACATTTTTAAAGTCCCTAATTGCCTAAGAAGGTTGGTCTGCAAAAGAAAAAAAAAAGCCCTTTGTCAAGGCCTTAAATATATTACAGGTGGCATTCTTACCCTCATGAATCACAGGATCAGAGCGATAGGGCAACATGACAGGAGACCAAATGTGAGAGGCCAGCACCAAAGAGACTTGAATGCTGGAGCTAGAACCTTTCATTCACTGTCTCTTTCAGCAGCCAATCCTTCTAGCCCATTCTTTTCTAATTCTCTGTCCTATCACATACCTGGTGATGATTTGTTTTCTGATGACTGCTTCAGAGGTTTAGAGTTAGTCTGGAGTCTAAATGCAGTCTATTTGATAACTGACATCATGCTTCTTCCAATCTTCTGACTTTGGCTGGCCGCCTATACTTCTAAGCTTTTGATATTACCAGCAATATCACCCACAGGAAAAGAATGTGTGGATATAAGAATGGAAGGAAGACTTCTGGATCCTGCACCACAATTGGGAATGGCAGTTTCCATCCTCAAAGGGAGATAAAAATCCTAGGAATCTGAGTCTGCTGGAAGATCCTTAATGGAGTATTATTCCCATATCTGGTCCTTATAGACATATAAAAGATTCCATTCCTGTCTTCCCTTGGTAAGACTCACTGTTTCTTTTTGATTTAGGACTTAAAAAAGGAGTTTAGGGATTACTTGCTAAAATCTCATTTTACTGAAGCCCCCCAATTTATAGGAAAATATATCATCCAAGGTAATAAGGTAGGTCCTTTGTACTCAACTATATTTGCTCTTTAAATATAGTCAAAATGTTACAGCTTGAATTTATAGATGGGTATTATTTCCACACAAAGTTCTTAATTCAGAAATCTAGAAGTTCAGGGAGACTTGAGAAGATTCATTCTGGGAAAGCTGGCAGTCAAGATTTCTCTCTTATGTAAGACTGTATTGTTAATTCAGAAAGGGCCTTTAAAGG